GAATAAAACACCTGTCCGTGTTCAAACTCGGCGGCTCTGTCACAGAAAGTCTACTCAACGCATCAAACTGCAATGGTAAACAATTTTTTAATTGTTCATCATCTGCATTGACAATTTTCTTCTGCGGTGACCTGTTTCAAGAACACGATCTTGAAGCGTGTAAGTGGAGTATTATCTCCATGTTTTCTGTGATAGAAGCTTTCTTTCAGGTACGAACTGAGTTCCATTTGCGTAAATTTGGGTCCATGAGTGGAGCAATGAATATTCGAGCTGTTCATGTTGAGTTTCCTATAGGAAATGCCTTGGCAAACCTCAGTTCCAACATTCCTACACTTATGTATCCTAGCAGCAATTGGGAGCCAATGAAACCATCATATTCTCACCTCAAGGTGAATTATCCATGTGTAAACAAAGGCTTCCAAGTACCAAATTCATTGACGGTTGAAGTGTGCTTCTATAGTTCTCAATGTTCAATTTGTCAACGAAAAAATCAGGCTTGCGGTTGTCAGTTTGAGGATTGACAGAACATGATGAAACATTGCAGTTTCAGTGGGAATGTGCATGTGAAATCTCAGAAAGGAAGGAGACGATATCGCAGCTCATGCCGTCTCCGAACCAACTGTCCATTCAAGGGATGTCCATCACAAACCAAAACAACCCAGACTTCAACGCTCCCCGTGTAATCTTCCCGGAACGCCATATCAAAATATGAAGAAAATAGCACTATTTGCTGATTTCGATTGCACAAAAACAACGAAAAAAACTCTGATGATCTAGTTTTCACTATCTGAAGTTCGATTGAGTGCCTATGATTCAATCCTAGTTCTTGGTACAACCGTTTCACACTGCGCGACATGGCTGTAAGCACTTTCATAAATGTTTGCAGCCATGTCGCGCATAACAAAGCGGCAATTTCCCAGATTTTGTAATCTTTGAATTGTCCCAACTCAGCAATGGATGGGTCTCTTCTTGTGCGGTTTTCATCAAAACGGAACCTCTTTCGTATGCCACCATTTTCGCGCCTTCTCCAGAGCCCTGCCCCGCTTCGGAAATTTAAAAACATGACTTTTTTTTTAAGCCTCGCGATTGCTCATGGCGTGACAGCAGGACCACTCGATATATTGACTATGAGAGGATGGTTGTTGTCGCTGCTGCTGCTCTCCCTGTCTCTTCACCTCATGCTTTGGAGCAGCTTCCCTCATCCCGAAGCCAACTTCAGCCTCAAGAGCTTGACTCGCTCCAAGCCCAAGCCCAGCAAGAGCTTCTGCATTGTGAATCACTCGCGGTATACTTGCACGTCGTTCGAGCATGTGCAGGTGGAAACAAGGATGGACCGTGGACCTCCAAACTGCCTTGGAGGACTGGAGTCATGGGGCATCTGTGACAGGGAAGAGTTTCTATGCCTAAGCATGCTTGTACACGATTCTGGGCCCAGGTGCTCTATAAGGTGGGGTTTCCACACAACTGAGTATTCGTGCACGCCCGCCCCGTTCGCATGCTCCACGCACTGTCTGTCTGAAGAAGCAAGCTACGGGATCTGCAGACACAATCAAATCCTGTGCAAGATTCACGATGTGCGACATCTACCTCCGGCAGATCGAATCGTTCGTCATTCCTGCATCGGCAGTAGTTGCTTACTGCAGGATGTCTTCTACAACCTCCAGTGGAGTCAGCGTTTCAATGAAAGTTTGTCATTCGGCTGTTTAGCTCAGTGGAATGAGGAGATGTCTAAGTTTGAGTGCAAGTTACCAGGCGATCGAATGGATGAAACTTCACATGCAGCTTCTCCTGGTTCTCATCAGAGCAACATTACCTCCTTTGTCAGCGACTGTCCGGGGATCAGAGACATGAGACATGCAAGGGCTTCCAATAGAGTAGATGTTGTTGCAACGATCGATGATGGCCAGAGCGTCTCATGTGCACAAACTGTGAATGTTACAGCATACCTCGTATACTTCGATGGCTGGAACCCGTTTCACCAGATGTTGCAGTCGTTTCGAAACATTTTCGCCGGGTGGGTCTCGTTCTCGAGCTTGATTGAATCAGATCGATTCGATCCCAGCAGGTCAGGCAAGGCCGGCGGCCTCGTTCCTGCGAGATCAGATTGCGTGTTTGTCACACGCGACCAGGAGATGAAGGAGCTGGGACCTTTCGGACGCGGCATCATCCCGTTGCTGTGCAGGCGAGGCGTGCTGTCGTTGCTCAACTTTGGAAACTCGAGTGAGTCCGTGTGCTTCAAGAACATCGTCGTTGGAGTCACAGCTGGGGGTTGGGACATGGAGGTTGGCAGGAGGGAAGCAGTGGAAGTCAGCTTGAGTGGAGTCCTCCTCAGTTCTTGGGTCAAGTCCAGGCTTGGAATCCCCCTTCAGTCTAGGCCGCTTGAGGGAAGCAGAAGAGGTAGCGTACTATTCTTGGTGCGACATGGCCGGAGGGAGATTGTCAACGAGTACAATGTGACAAGTCAGTTGAGGGGACTAGATCATATCAATCTCTCTGTGCATGATTTCGACAGAGAAACTTTCATGGAGATATTGCGATCTGTTTCAGAAGCTGACATCTTTATGGGTGTGCATGGAGCTGGACTTGCCAATCTTGTGTGGCTTCGACCGAAGAGGATGGTTATCGAGCTGATGGTTGGCTGGCCGAGACCTGATTACTTTCAGATGTGCGCGTCTTTCGGTCAGTATCACACGGACTACACGCGGACTAGCTTGAAGCGACCTGAGAGCCCAGACTGGGAACTTCATGATGCCAGGGACTATCTGGTGTTGGTGGACGATATTCCCCTACTGCTTGAGACAGTCGTTGAGGGATTAAACTCAACCATGTCATCACGAGATGTTGAACCACTGCCAATGTGACTTTTGACCTTTCAAATGCTTGAAAACGTACTGATAAGCTACTCGAAAGATTTTTATTGTTTCGTTCACTCTACCAAAGTCAAGGATCCCTTTCAAGAAGAGCAGGAAACGGAAGACTCAAAAAAAATGTCTTTCCACTGCCTGCAATAATTCCCCAATAGGTTTTGAAAAGATTCATCATTAAAGCTTTGTTGCACTGTTCTCATAGCACAGTCTTAACGCGTACAATGAAGCAATAAATCAAAGATTACAGAACGCATGCTTGTCTTCAGGAGGAGCAACAGGTTTCTCGAGAAAGCTGGAATAGACTTCCAACAACTCTGCCCAGTAACAATCAACTGCTCTTTGACTCAAAACTTTCTGAACAAGCAGTTTTCCGTTCTTGGCGATTCTTGCCAACCTTGAAGCATTCTTAAGCTCTCGTTCCAGCGTTTCTTCGAGGTCAGAAATGTCCGACTTAACGAGAATGATATTCTCTCCATGCCGTAGAGAAGAATACCAGTGCTCTATCCGTTCAGTGAGCTGCTTCACGATCGCGCTGTTCCCATTCATTTGTGTCGGCAGTCGATCTGGCACGACATTTCCATCAACAACCACTATGATTTGGTAGTTGAATTGATCGGCATGTGGCAGCCAGTGCCCTGTCATCCCTGCTGCCTCCATTTCCTTGAACGTTTCTTCCCTGTCGATCTGTGCTCGTAGGTTTGTGAACCCGGCATCCAAGAGTTCGGGTCGCTTTCTGCTGAGCATCACTACCTTGGACCTGACCTGTTCTCTCCAATTCTTCTTCGTATACAAAGCGCCAGTAGTGGATCCCCGCCAAACGGCCTTGTTGAGCTTTTTGGACCAGGGGACCTCAAAGCTTGTGAAAAGGGACGTTCCGAATTCATGAGACATGGACGACCGAGAAGGAGCAAGGACAGCGTTAGCCGATGGCCACATGTCCTGTACGAAGACAGGGACATTGAAGCTCTCCGTTGGCGTTTTCAGTGGCCAAGCATGTTCAGGCACTCCATCTCCAACATGCATGACGAAATCAACATCGGGCAGACTAACGCGCTGCAGCAAATTGTCAAGATACTTGAGAACTTCCTGAGCTCGACCTTTGTCTGCCACGGCATCATAGTTTCGCACATACAAGACATTGCTTACGATGGTTATTCTGATGGTGTAAAGATTCTTGGAGAAATTTACATATGAAGAGAGCATGTGATGAGTTATGGGCCTCCCCTGGAACTCAGAAGTGAGAAAACTCTTTGCAACATTCACGTAATGTTCCGGTTTGCACTCGTTGACTCTGACAAAGTCCAGATAGGATTGCAAGAGGGCCTGAGGTGGTAAATTGCATGGATGCTCACAGAGATGTCTGTCTTCTCCGCAGACTAGTTTGCTGGCTGGATAACCATGACAGCGCTTATGTTTTGAGTTCACACAGTGATAGTGAAGACCTTGAATCTTGCAGAAGTTGTTGCCTGCTGCTTCACCTCCAACATAAGGAACTCCAGAGGGAGCTTTAGGCTCCTTACAAACTACTGCGGACCCGTTACAGACTATTGGGATTGCCAGACAGTCGTCATTGACGTTGTTCTGCATGCCTGTGACGAGAGTCTGAGCGTTATCGTCTTTGCAGGAGTACATTGATGCTGCAATGCGGCAGTAGGACTTGTCATCTCTAGTGTCAGCAAAGACAAGGCCCATTTCTTCTTCGACTAATCTTCCCAGCAGGACATCAAGGAATCTCGGACAAAGCTGAGAGATGGTAGAGGACGTAAAGATCATGTTCTCAACAGGTTGAGATGATCTAGAATGCAAGACACACCGTCTGACCCGATCCCTGTCACTGATATTCAATGCAAACCCAATGATAGGCTTAATCCGGCTGAATTCTAGCTTCGAATTCAAAGATTTTCCATTGAAATGAAAACTGATCGCCTGCTGCTTTGTGTACGAGTCGGTGAGACATGATGTTTTTCCCTTCTTAGTTCCTTCACACTCAGCGAGATCCGTGGGTACATGAAGAGATCTAATTGGATCTTGTCCCTCGCAATTGATCATGGTTCGCATGATTTCTGCTGCACTGTCTACTTTACATCGTACTCCCATGTTTTCTGCTGAGAATGTGCCATTTCCGAAGCAGTACTCCATGAATGCACCTTGATCTGTTGTCGGCCAATCTCCACCATTCTCATCAATCATCGCCATCAGACCTGTTAGAAACAATCTCAAGGTCTTTGCTCTTCCTATGAATTGACCAGAGTTGAGATACTTATGCGGTCCAGCCCTTCCGAACAAACTCGCTTGCAGCTGACATAAAGGAGCTATCCTCGGAAAGCAATTGCATTCGCCATTGAAGAGAATTTCATTCGCGTTGACGTCGAAAGCCTTTGCGGATTCAATGTCGGATGGCTCTACCCCGTTGGTCACGAACACATCGAAAGCGTCCTGAAACCATACGATGTGCTGTGCAGGAAAAGTTTCGATGAGTTGTAACAGGCTTCTTGGCTTATCCGAGAATCTAAACGATCTCACTCTGACGTGCATTGCCTCATGGCCATTCACCATCCTCGTGGCATGAGCAGCGCACAACATGAAAGAATCAAACCAGTGCTTCGGGTCACTACCCACGGAAACTGTTGTGATGCCTCGGCTCAATGGCGGATCCCGACATGTGCTAGGAGATGTCGCGATCCTGGAGAAGCTCTGGATGGCCTCTAGTCCAAGCTGACCAGCTGCGAGAACTTCACATGAGTTGTTCTTCCAAAACCGCTGCTCGTCGTCTCCGAGTCTTTCTCTAGTCTTGAGTACCCTGCAGCCATTCATGATGGGTCGGACGGTCTCGAGGCAAAGAAACTTCCCCTCTGAGCACGTCCCCCAACTATGTTTCCCTCCCTTGCACATCAAGTGCGGAGATGGAGTTTCCGGGGTGTCAACGACGAATCCTTCCACTGTGATGCACGTGTACACCCTCCCCTCCATGCGACAGGTCTGCGATCCGGGCATGGCGTGTTGCTGTTTGCAATGCTGGGAGAAAGTGAATCGAGGAAGATACAGGAATGAGAGGAGGAAGGAGAGGAGAAAGGAGAGGACTAGCATGATCCCCAAACATCGCCGAGCTCCTCGCACTCTCCTCCTCCACATCGCGATGCTGCAGAACTAAATTTTATTGACTGAAAAAGAAGGACAAACCGGAGCAAACAAAGGAGGGGGAGGATAAAGCCTACAAACCCGCCTCAATAAAATACTAGGAACGATAGTTTGGTTTTAGTCAACTTGAGAACAGGGTCAAAATCCTTGGCGATGCCGAGGTTGCGGTGGAAGGTCATTGTTGTTTTCAACACCTCGTAACTTGCTCCTGTTTGTCCCTTCCACATAAGCAACGAAAGCATAGGATCCTGGCCATTTCCAAGTTCCGATGGAAGCTCATGTTTGCGCTCTACGTCTTGTTCTCTATGCGCTTTCATGGCAGTCTACGATCCTTCCCTGACCAGACTCGGAAAGTTGAGGAGCCAACTGCTCTCACCATGTTGAGGAGACCAACCCTTGTCGAAGAGCAACATATTTCGAGGTGCGCGTGTACGGATGTGTATGACCCTGAGACCGGACGATGTTACATGACAGATCCTGGCCCTATCCTGTGGTACGGAGGATATGGCGGCTCACACCACCGTCATACGTTTGTTCGTGACCTTTTAGCAAGGAGTGGAGTGAGAATGAAACATATTCATGTCAATGATGGTCAGTACGCCAATGGTGGTTGTGACAGGACTGTTGTACAAGGGTTTGCAAGTTATGACAGGTATTTGTATCATTGGCTTGATTCGGATATTGCATACAAACTATATCTTACTTGCAAGCATGTGCTGCACTCGACTACAGTGTGTCTGCGACGCAAGACCAGCCTTAACACTACTCAAACGATGAGCGATCAATCAAAATTGCAGGAGAGAAGTTACGTATGCTCAGTCTTTGACAGCATTTTGCTCCGCAGTCCTAGCAGAAAAGCAGTGTCAAGCTATTCACTTTCAAGCAGCGATGTTCTAACAGGACTCTGGTCTACGATTGGAAAACCACCTGCACTATCAAAGATTCTGCAGCATGTTTCTTTGTATCACGTGGGAAAGATTATTCCTATAGGACAAATCATCCAAACGTGCGGACTGATGGGAAAAGGGCAGAAATGTACACATGCAAAACGTAAGATAGCGGCAATCACCATTTGCAAGGACGAGATCAATACCATAGTCTTCACGATTGGTGCGCTAATTGAGCATGTAGATCATTACATAGTGGCTGATACTGGGTCGAAGGACACTACCATCAACCTACTACGTCAAACTTTCAGTGACTATCTGGTTTCGAAAAAGCTCTTCATTCTGACGTTGAATTGCTCGATCCACACATCAATTGCTCGCAATGCTGCCCTTCAAGTTGCCCGATCTTTATCTTGCGCACATATCATGAAAATCGATGCAGATGATGTCTTTTATGACGCCAATGCAAGAGAGATGATGGAAGCTGTTCGTTGTACAAACAAGCCCTTCCAGAAATTGTGGGTGCCTCAGTATGAGCTAGTTCAGGGAGACATTGAGTCCTCGCTAGACTGGCTTCACCTTGTTCGACAAGAAGCCTCGCAGGCCCTGACAAGACAAATGAAATCACGAGTGTTCAGATTCCGACTAGACCAACCATATGGGCACGACAGAGTGATTGTGTTGAGTGACGACCTACAAGCCAAGGGATCTTGGACTGATGAGGCGCATGGGCTCCCTGCAGAAGGATTTCGCTCGAGGTCCACTGGAGCTCTGGTTTTCTTCGTGACCTCTCCCGCGCTGGCACATTACGGTTGGGCAAGGCCTCTGGAGTTCTTGTACAAGAAACTTGAGGCCTGGGAGGACCAGAAGGTCGACAAGGCCAACATGAAGAAGAGAGTTGTAGGAATGTTAACTCAGCCCTTCCAGACTCATCCCGAGTCAGTGTTGCGACACGTCAACAGTACGATCAAGACTGTTGAGCTTCATCTTATGAAGTTCGAGCGCAACCTCTAAAAGTTTGCTTGAATCTCATACAGCTGTAATACTGAACTTTGATAAAGCTGTGGTACTGATCTTTGGAATTGATGGTGAAACACTTTGAAACATGCTTCTTCGCTTCGACCTGTCATGCAAGTCTCCGAGTACTCCCCCCCCCGGGCCCCCCGCATGCCATTCCTTCAAGCGGCAGCGCGATCGCTGCCGCCCGTGCTCGCATATACTCCCTTCCCCGGGCCCATTCAACCGTTGAACGGCCTTGCATCATCGGCGTGATCTCTTCCAACCCTGAAGCAGCAGCATAGCGACAACCGGCGTTGTTCCCTACCTGTGGCCGTTGGCTGTTGGCTTGTTTTCCCTCAACATAACTCAGTGACTTGTAGAAAATAATTCTACTAGCTGTTAGAACTGACTCGAAGTAAGAGACTGATCGGAATCTGCGTTTAAGTCACGCGGCGGGCCGCAGCCCGGGCCCGGCCTGGCGGGCACCGGGGGTCAGTCCGACGTCACACACTGACTTAATTTATTTGACTGAAAAAGAAGGACAAACCGAAGCAAACAAAGGAGGGGGAGGATAGAGCCAACAAACCCGCCTCAATAAAATACTAGGAAACGAAGGAGGCAGCGAAAACCGGCACTCCAACCACGCAAGCGACGGCCCAGGGACCAAAGCATTTATTCAACTTAGTTTTGCCTTCTTTTCCTTTTTGACTTAGAAAGAAAAAAACAAAAAAAAGTCAGTATGGTCAAACTTTCATTTTTAAAAAACGCTTGTTTTTATTTACTCTCATGCAGGAAATCTTGACGAGACAATATGGAAGCGCCTCGCTGGTCAGGGCAGCTTTCGTATTCCTCTGCTTGTACTCACTTACTAACGTGGTAGTGATGAGTCGATATGGTACTCTCAGACGCAGGGATGCTCTTTCTCAAGCTCAAACTCAGTCACAAATACTAGAGGAAGACCCCTTGATTGAGGGCGATCTGTTGAATGTCAGCTTCTGCCAAACAAATATCTCAGACATCTCATGGTTGAACCAACAAGTTTTGAAAGATTGGAACGAATCTTACGTACAACAGAGTGTCAAATGGATCGAGAAAGCTATGCAGGTTTGCTGCTCCAGCGCTACTGAGAGAAACGATCCCAACCGACCAAACCTTACAGTTCTGATAACAACAGCCTCTCGTCAACACGCGTTTTACTTAGACCAGGTTGTCTACAGACTCTTTCAAGAGATGACTTCAACAAACCAACACAACCACGTCGTTCTGGCAAACAATGATGCGCAAAATCGCACTTTCACTCGGCAACTCAATTCTTTGAAATTAAAGTTCCCCTCCATAGAGGTGATTTCAGAAACTCTTGATGAGTCCGTCGACGACATCAAGACGTCGAACCGCACTGAATTGATAAAGAAGCTCCTTCTCAGGCAAGTGCTGAACCTTTGCGCATCTTTGGCCAGGTCGTGCGGTCAGTCACGGCACATCTTGCTGATGGAAGATGATTTTGTTTTCTGTACCGGAGGACTGAAGATCTTGAAATGTATTCTCAAAAGATTGTACGATGCAGCCTGGAAATGGAAGGCACTCCGGGTCTCCTACGGACTAAATGGAATCTTGATAAACAATGATGACATTCCAAATCTCATGATTTACCTTCTTCTCAACATTTGGAACAAGCCGTCTGACCATAACATAGTCGAGTGGTTTCTTGGGAAGACAGCCAAAGGTCACAAAACATTCACAATCAGAAGACAAGATAGATCATATTTCGTCTACAGATTCAACCTCATGTCTCACATTGGGGCAATCTCATCCTTTGGGACTCCTTTCAGACCTTTCCCGATCTGTTACCAAGAGATGGACGCTCATGTTGGCTTTCGCCAATCTGAGGCATTTGACGCGACAATGGAGTGTCAACGATCAGAATTGTGGCCTTGCTGGGGAGACGAATCGTCACTCAACTCCTCTTTTCGCCTCAGCGAAACGTGTACGTGATCATCTTGCGTTCCTTTCGTTGTTTTGAACGCTATTGCATCTCCCTCCCCATCCCTTCGATTCATATTAAGGTTGACTTGTAGTCTCTTGTGCAAGCTTTTCAGCTGGAAACATTTCCAATGTTGTAAGATTTCGGGTAACAAACACAAAGCATGCCTGGAGGTGGACAAGAGTTGATAATTGAGACTTCTGGTTCAGAACGTGTTGAATCCAAGGGAAATTGATGCCTTCTGGACATAGTCGTTAAAGATTGGTCCAAGTTACACGAAAAATCTGTTTCCCAAAAGCAAATTTGTTTGTGGAACAACTTCTGGCTTCAAATCTTCTGTCAAAGCTCTCAAATGTCAGTCTATTGTGTGAGGTTTGTCAAGTGTTTTTTTTCGATTGTGATTTGACGGATTACGATATCAGACAATCTTTTTACATATAGAAGTCGTTCTCATCTCATGCTTCATGCAACTTATTCTTTCAAAGCCTAGAGCATCGGCACAAATAAATTTGCTGTCCACCAGCCTCAGGGTCTTATCCTTGAAGCACATGTTCGACCTCAGGGTGCCAGGCGGGGATTTCTACAGGGGTGCACAGCATGAACAGCATCATCCACTGCCCCGACTTCAAGCAGGTCTGCAAGGAGAACCGGAAGCATTAGCAGGCCCTGCTCCACCCAGAGTGCGTGGATTTCATGATGAGATCGGGCATGTTCGTATAGATCATCAACCTAAGGAGGACGTGATCCCCGTGCGGTGCGAGACGGCCTTCCCATGAGTCGCCCAGGAGGGCACCATGATCCTGCCCGACATGTGCAAAGATGTATCAAGATGGTTCCCTCCTGCTTTATCACGCAGTTTGTTGTAATCTCCTGCTCGTTGTATCATGCTTCTCCATTCGACTAGTCGATCAGCCGAATTCATCTGGAACAAGACCTGAATGGACGATTTAACAGAAAGTGTGCGTAAGGTACACTCTGATTTGATCAAATCAGATCACATCCTGAAGCACGGTGAACAGATCGAATTTTTGAAAGAAAAAGGCATGTTTACAAAGTTTCGCAGCAGCGATAGGTCGGTGTTAGGCAGGATTGCAGAAGCTCTGTTTACCTTCAAACTTCTCATCTGACGAGGTGGATCGTTCAGTTCTATAGAGTAGATTAGCATTTCTTGATTATTTTTTACTTTTCTTAAGCCAGAAAAACAAAATAGATTTTCTACTGTATATCTGGTTTGTGCGGTGATATCGATCATTTAGCTCTCCACGAGATAATGCGGCGAGAACCCGCATACACTAACGTGAAACAAGAGCCTCAACCCTCACAAAGACCACATATCGCGTAAGAAGCGACTGGCACCGAATATCATCATGGCAAATGCCATTCCAACATGCCAAGGAGCTAGTGGTGCCAAGACTTCGGCGTGAACAGAGTCACATGCTGCTTAGGGTCAACAGGCTCAAGACTGAAATAGTATCCTCCTGCGGCGTTGACGATCTTCGACATCATCTCGAAATCAAGGATGTGATCTTCGACATCATCTCGTCCTTGGGCAATGGTTGCTTGTCGCCAAAGAAATTTCCCCTCGACGACCATGCCAACTGGGACTTACTCTTTGGCGATACCTCAGCTGTCAGTGATACTCTCAAGAGATGGTTTCAACCCAATCGGATCACCATTTATCCCCAGGCTTTGTGTTCACAGCACCAAGCTTTACAGGATTGACCTTCAGCGAAGCTCAACAAGAACTTGCGCTGGAATTTCTCTACTAAGAGGAAAGCAGCGTGACTGAAGGAGATCTATCTCTCGTTATTTTCACACAGCAAACAAAACAAACCCACACACACTGATGTGGCATAAATAGACGTGGCTCACACACGAAAGGGGAAGAAGACCACTTAGTTCTGACGAGAATGATCCTTGTATACCTTCGAGGAAGGAGACAGGAGTACCCGTCTCTTGGCTGAGGAAAGTAGGGGTGATTTCTCTTTGGAAGTTGACAAGCTTTCTTCTCTAGATGTTGAACATCCCGTCAGCCCTTCGAGCAGAAACCTTGCTCTCTCGCAGGGTAGAGAACCCCATCCTCGCATGCCAGCAGGCTGCTTCCAACGGGTTGTACTCCACAAGACTCTCCCGTCCTCTTCAGCTTGTAAGCCACCACGGGTGCACGGTTCCTGCAACAAAGACCTCCAGAGGGGTCCTTTTCAGCAGATTCACACTGGGGTAGAGTATCCTGGGGTATCCAAGAGAAGTCAGTTTCACACGAGTACGAGACCAACTGTCCTTTCTTTCCAGTAAACCTTTGTCTGACTCGGGCTCGGTTCCTATGAGCTCTGACAGATAGCTCCTGTCATCTTCTCGTCTTGACTTGACTGGTCTCAGTTTATACATTTTGAAGGAGGCTGAATCAGGACCAAGATGAAGGCTGATGTGGCAAACAAGAGATGTTTTCGTTCCAGATACTGTTTTTCGGCTCTGGTTGGTGTTGGTGTTGGCGTTGGCGTTGGTGTCACATCAACCCCAAGGATAGAAGAGCTGGCGGTAAGAGATCTCCCATCATCCGATCGCCTCTGCCTCCCATCATCCGATCGACCCTGCCTCCCATCATCCGATCGACTCTGCCTCCCATCATCCGATCGACTCTGCCTCCCATCATCCGATCGCCTCTGCCTCCCATCATCCGATCGCCTCTGCCTCCCATCATCCGATCGCCTCTGCCTCCCATCATCTGATCGAGTTTGGATCGAAACACGTGATCTTGCTGTAACATTTGAAGTGTTGAGATGAAATGCCTCCTTGGTCATCCATCGCTCAACTGCACGGGGTGAAGCCATGACCTGCAAAGATTGTGTTCGCAAGAAACTCATGTAAAGAAAGATCAAAAGGAAACTGCCTTGCAAACAAAGACATCGAAGAGAGCGTGAAGGAAGATGACCCATTACTAGATCCATCATTCCATGCGCACTCTGATTGGCAACGTTTACTCAACAGCAGCCAGCTCTGCAGGCGATAGGTAGACCTGACCAATCCGCCCCAGAGAAAAGACTCCCTATCAAGGAGAGGCAGCGAAAAAGTAGGCTTCCTACACTAGGCAAGCTGATTGTCCTCGTACCGGTTTTGAATTCAGCGCTGGCTATAAAACTCTTTTACACTGTCAGGGACGCCGTTTTCAACAGGGAAAATTTGTAGCCATTCTCTGGAATATTTGCCTGAGTATTCAAATTACTACTACAAGCAACTTTCAAAACAATCGACGGCTACCCCTACCCATCATGCTTGCTAGCTGGCAACCTCTATGAACGGGTGGGCTAGGCCTCCCAGCTGCAGCGCAAGCGATAACAGAACCATGGTCGCAATGCTGCGCATGCTTATCATTTCCTGCTGTTATGGACTATCATTCGGTGGATACAGCCCTGCTGCATCTACAAATATAACTGAGATACTATCTCGAACTGCCGTTCAATATCGACATTGCTTGAACCCGTATTCAAGTTGGGATTCGTTGTATCAAAATCTTGCAGCAGGCCCAATTCAAGACGGGTGGGCTTGGCCAACTGATGGAGATGAGCGTCTATGAAGTCTGGGTATGCCTGGAAAATCATCCATGTGCCTTACACCCGGTGGACACCTACTTTTGTTGGGTGTTCAACGAGATGACACAATCATGGGTCCCATTTGGGGAGAACGTAGATCTTAAGCTTGTACATGTGATCCCTCGCCCTTCGGAATGTGTAGGGTACGTGAACATATCACATTGCGCGGTGAACATTTCGATGACGGCAGACAATGCATTCGAATTGTTCGTCAACGGTGTGTACTTGGGATATGAAGATAACTGCAACTTCTGCCATACCTGGAAGTCTCAATACCTCGTATATGACTACACTGTGAACATCGATGTCATCGATGGTGAGAGAGAGATGGTGGTAGCAGCAAAGATTATAGATTGGCCTGGTGGCCTGACTGGCCTTATTGGAACCTTTGGAGGTGTTCCCACCAGCGCATCGGCAAACTGGAAGTGTGCGACATTTCCAGGAGATGTTCCCCCGAGGGGATGGACTGCAAGATCTTTCAACGACTCGCAATGGTCACAAGCAGTGCAAACTTTCCCAGATAGTCGATTTTTGCAACGCCCGTTGGACAAACAAGCATCCTGGATTGCTTCCCCAACGTACAATCTGAGGTACTTCTGTCGCGGAGTTATCAAGAATCCAGAGGCCGTTTGCACTCAGAATGTGAAGCAGAAAGTCCAGCCATACGAAATCCAGCTGAATGATCTGGTTTGATTGCTTTTGGGGCTCAACGCACTTTCGAAGCAATAAACAGAAGTCTCTGTAAGAATACGATTCTTTTGTGATCTTGTATACAAAGCAAAGCCGTCACTTTATTGAACCCCACCTAAAATCTCTAGTCTTTACAACTTATTCCATCCAGGCTATGATACTTCGGATAAGCTTTCCCCTCTGGATCTCCTGTATGAAATGTAGAGAAGTCTTCCACTCTGTTCCAAAGCTTCATTGTCTGGCCGATCTATTTGACTTCCAGCTCGTACAGGAACTGTTCTTGGAAGCATCTTTATCTTGCTGAACGTTGGCACGCTCATATCGTCCACGCACAGCTTGGATCTGAACTAACTTAGACCTAGCATCGGGTACATCTGTCGCGTGATGTATTGCAATGTTTACAGAGTCAACCGCCGCATCTCCCTGCAGCGTGCAGGCCCGCGGAATTGGTCTGTGGCGGTTTGTGAATCTACCAGACTTCAGGTATTTGTTGATAAGAGTTTGATCTCCAAACTCCGGTCGTTCCTGCAGTGTACAGTTAGCGACGAGTTCCATCATGTTCGAGCGCCCGGCCGGAAAAGCAACGCTATGGACTTGTTTTTCGTGCCCGAACCCGTGAAGTATGGATTGAATCTTCCCACAAGCAACAACTCGTGCGTCTTCCGACATGTGAAATGGTTCCGCTTAATTCTCTTACAGCTCCCCAATCCTTTGCGCAAGTTACTTTCCTGTCATTGACCGATGTTTTTGCTTCTCAACAACAAGACAACGATGAGGACGATTGGTTTCTTTGCGTTCTCCAAGTTGATTCATCCTCCACGCCACCGTCAGCCAGTTCTTTCTCTCCG